AAATGGGGGCCTCAGGAGGCACTGGGAAGTTGACTGGCATTATCGTGAGAACTGCTATAGTATATTTATTAAAACAAGTTGCAAAAAGTGGAGGAAAAGAGAACATCCTCATCCTCAGTGAAATCTTAATTGGCTGTGAAGTTGCAGACTGTTCCACCAAAGAAGCTTTTACACTCATCACTTGACAATTATGGTCCCCAATATAGTGACATGTAGGCTAGATCACCAAATGTTTTGCCCCCAGTATCCATAATATGCGAGAAACAATCCGATTTGTTTGTCATGGTATGTCTTACATTGTAATTATATGGTATATTTATCATTAAATGAAATCATTATACAGTTGCTAGTAAATGGTACAGCGGTCACGTAGCAAAATAATCACCTGAATAAAGTTTATTCCAAAATTATTACCCGTGAAGAATAACCCTTGTTGCGTGTGAGACTTCAGATGCAGGTCTATTGCGCGAAGCTGGCACAAAGAAAAAGGACAACTACAGGATATTATTAAAAATTGTGGAAAAGATTGTGTTGCCATTGAGGTTAAGTACCATAATAAGTGATAGAAGAATTATACTAACTATTTGTATGGACAGGATACAGTAAGACATCATGTGAAACAACTTCAATGGTTTTGTACAACATGGGATATGATGGTAATCACAGCGCTACACAGTCCATATTGAATGAGCTACAAATTCTGTATCATGCTTCTATATTGCTTAAGAAAAAGCTAGCCACTGCGAAGTGGCCTATGGACCCTTGGCTGCCTGTAGCTGATTGAATAACTTTACTAAATGAATTTCTTGTAAAGAAGTTATTCTACAGAGTGGAATTAATAGCAGATTTTCAATGTTCAGTGATATTGCCTGTTTGTTGAGTAATGTGCCTGTTGAGTAATAATAAGTCATGGCTTGCTTGTGTGCAGCGTGCATTGGTAAAATTTGGCCATGTAATATCAGAACTACTCCAAAAGAACTGTCTGATCATGATGAAATTAGTTAGTCTGGCGACATGTGCAACAGATTTCATCTTCTAGTTTCTTTCAAAGGCATTAGATGACGGGTAAACAATTTGAATTCTTTAGTCGCATTTTAGTTTTCTGACTTGCATAACCACTTTAATTCGCACACTGTGGTGCACAATTTAAGGTACTAGTGCAAAATAAGCCCTTCCCCTGCATACAGTCTGTCAATATAAGCTTTACTGGAGAAACAAAAATGCTGACTCAGCATTTTTTTTTAACTTTGGAACGTGATATCTCGGTAACGAACGACTGAAAGTTTTCAGTGTAATATAGTTTTTTTGTCCAATTATGCACCTCAATCTAATGGCATTAAACATTTTTCGAAATTCGAACATTTTTACCTTTCGGAACTATAGATGACGTCATCACCAGAATATAGTCGATTTCTCGTTGTTGTGCACACTTATGACCGGGGGCTTTTTTTATTATTTGATTTGGCATGCTCCTCTACTACTTTATGAAAGAAATCATTAGCCTCCCGATGTGTGCAACGAAAGTCACTTTCTAGGCATATTTTTAGCCTTATGTGACGGCCTAAAGTGTTCGTATATTTTGCATCAAGTCAGATCCAGAATAAAAAGCTTGCAAATTATGTGCACGCAATTCAATATTTTTCTCGCACTCCCCCCGGTGTCCCCCCGGAATTACGACATCTTAAATATGGACAGACACAAGATCTAGATCTCGACAACACATAGATCGGCGCGAAAGACTGGGTCGAGTGAACTCTGGAGCAAGATTAGGAGTGCTGCCTTCGGCAGCAATGATAATTATGATCTCTCGATTGATGCCCATGCACCTCAACCATCTTAATATATAGTCATATAGTCATAATATCATCATTTCACTTACAAGTCGATATTCCACTTATTTTTAGATGAGCTGAAAGAACTCCAAGCAGTACTTGTAAGCATAAATTTTAAAAATTTTAAATATTTCATACAATGCTTGTGATGTTACTCTGAGTGAATATCCACACCGGGCAAGCTTGAAAAATATGCCTGGCCACGGTGGGAATCGAACCTACGACCTTTGGAATACTAGCCCAATGCTCTGCCAACTGACGGCTACGCGGTCGAGTCAGGTCGATTCGAGTAAGTGATATTTCGGAACTGTGTCTAGCTCCTTCGATATCGATGTAATCTAGCAATCATGATTTTTTTCTGTGTAATGTACTCATGGGGAATATGATGCTTGTGATGTTACTCTGAGTGTATATCCATACCGGGCAAGCTTGAAAAATATGCCTGGCCACGGTGGGAATCGAACCTACGACCTTTGGAATATTAGCCCACTTCGGCCTCTCGAGCCGACTTGACCACGTAGCTCACTGTTGGCAAAGCATTGGGCTAGTATTCCAAAGGTCGTAGGTTCGATTCCCACCGTGGCCAGGCATATTTTTCTAGCTTAGCTTGCCCGGTGCGGATAATTTATACACTCAGAGTAACATCACAAGCATCATATTCACTGAGTACACATTACACTAACAAAATTTTACCCAAAATGTATATTTAAATTAATGAAGTATATATGCATACATGCAGGCTCATCAAAATTATGCACGATTGCAAGGCTTCAGTCAACCACGAGATTGGGATTCAGTCGTTCAGAGGGATTGGATTTTAGCCACTGAACTGATTTTTATCGAAGTTACCAACTATAATAAAATGAGCCTTATTTTTTTCATTTTCCATTTCAAGTACGTTAACAATTCGCGTTTAATTTGTATCGACAGTCTCAACAACTGCAGTCCTTCATATATTCAGCAATATTTTGAATAAGTAATGCTTTACATTTAAAGAGACCCGAAGAAGAATTGAAAGAGCTTAAAGATGAGATTAACCAGAGAGATGATGAAGTGAAACAATTACAGAAAGAGAGTACGTACAGTTTCGTACAGTTAACAATTTTAGTTGTACCCAGGGACGCCGAGAGGTTGCGCGGGACCCGGGGCAAAACTTCCCCAGGCGGCCCCTATGACTTCAGAATTGTAAAACTGGAGAAGCGGTGCTTCACAATATATTACACATTATTGCATATTATCCAGACTAACACAGCTAGGATGTATATTCACAGTTAATTTTGTATCAAGATTCCTGGGGAAAATTAAGTGCCTGCCTCCCTCATCTCGGCGGGCCAGGCTCTTCCATTTTCATTTTATATTGATTGTATAAATATTCCTTTTAGGAAAGATCTCAAAATCATCTCTGCAAAACCTAGAAAAAATGTTGAAACAGAAGTCATCGGAGATAATAATGCTACGACAACAGCTGGAGACGTCTGTTTGTAATGTCTGTAGGTCAAAAAAGATGAGAGAGGTAGGTTTTCCACCATAAGTCTAACAAATTACCCTTGTGACCCTATACATATCGGCCATAAACCTTCATTGGCCACTGGGCGATCACAAAGAATCGCCGGTTAATTTTCAAGTCGGAAGCGCCCTCCATAACAGGCAGGCTGCATACATATAAATATAATCAACTGATATAAAACACACCTGTACGTGTTATGTTATTTTAACCGCGAACACGGCCAACCAGCCAAACAATGCACAAGTGTAATGATAAAACACTATTTGATGTTTACTTCATGTTAGGGACAAGATAACGCCGAGCCTGAAAAAACTACATCAGGCGACTATCTTGAACAATTCCATGAATCAATGATGAAATTATCATATGGACGTTATGGAACAAGATTTCAGAGCAGATCAAATCGGAGATTTACGAACACGCAAGATAATTTGGATATCAGTACATGTGTTCCAGTCTTAGTGGAATTACTGAAAGAAAAAGACCTGGAGATTGTAAAATTACGAAACGAAATTGACCAGGTTGGTAGCAGTAAGCTCCATAGGCTGGAGCGAGAACTCAAGCCAAAGATGGAGCAACCTCGTACCCAGGGCTTCTGCGCTTATTAATAAGCGGTTGTTAATAGTACGAGGTTGAAGATGGAGCTATTGGACGTCAGTTTCAATCCCTTTCTATTGCTTTTGTCTGCGCGGTTTGCAAGGAGTGTGCCAAAATTTTGTCTTTTGACTTCGATTTAAAGAATAATATACTATGATTTTATGAACTGATAACTTTATTAGCGATACGGTCTGTTAGAAAAAACTGGAATTAGCTGGGGAAACATGGTATTAAAACAGCTTACGACTTCATAGGTCATAGCTATTGGACGTCAATTCCGCCATCTTGGCTTCATTTTTCGTATATAGACCGAATTACAGATATATATATATAGAGCTGACGCCTGACTGGTTGGTAGTTATCACTATTGACCACTTGTGGTTGAACTTAAAATGAGTTCGTGGCTCGTGCATGATATCTGGAGGACAGCTAGCTGAAATGAACACGTGCTACTCGGCCTACTCAGCATAGGAAATAATGAACTTCAGTTGCTTTCGCTATAAGACATCCTATAAGTGAATTTGTACTACGGGTCAATAAAGAAGCATAGGTTCAGGCATTAACTCTATATAGCATGGTTAGATGGTAATGCAGGGCGCAAAGACTTATCTGATGCTGTACATAATTATACTTTGGCTATACCATATGTACTATTTAAAACACGAGTGCTTTAACAGATCTGAAAACACGAGAGCGCAGCTCGAGTGTCACTCGAGCCTGTGTTTTATATCTGGTAAAGCAAGGACTGCGAGCATGGGCCGTTGTTGTTTTAAATGGCTTATAATGGCTTATAAAAAATGACGACCCATCTATAACGAAATTATGGAATTGTCAAATATGTAGTAATTTTCCATTAGGGACCGGTCATTATTTATGGAAGGGGGGAGGGAAAAAATAAGGGGGGGGCATATGTAGAAATAAATGACTAGAAGGGGGGGCTATTAAATTTTTTCAAGAAAATGATGGGGGGGGGTTGCAATTAAATTTGAAGGAATTTGCTTAAATTAATAACCTGGTATCCATTTCGTTGTAAATGTTGCAACTAAATCAATTTTCACTGATATGAAATAGTCTGGATTTATCTTGTCTTGTGTGTGCTTACTGTGCTGTATGCAAATCAGTCTTTACGGGTTGCAGACTAGTTAACTTGACAATGTATTATTTATATTACATCAGCTCTTGATGTGGTTAAATACATTATGTATACCGCTGAGGGGAGTCTGTGACGTCATATCAAAGGGGGTTGTTTGATGCCTTGTGATCAGCGCTTCGGTCTGGGTATTCATTCTGCCATTGTGTCAGTATGCTTTGCCTGGCTGCAGCAAGTTTAGCGCTTCGATACCTTTTCCACACCCACCCACCCATATTCATTCTAAAGGATTTTATCTGGTAGTATATGTAATTTTATTTTATATAATTTTTAATCTCACATAAAATAAGATGTACAGACCACTATACATTGTATTTCGCAGGTATGCCTTGGCAAAATTGTCATTGCTATCTCCTTTTGCTGCTAATATTACTGATTGTTACTCTCATTGTTGCCGTGCAGCTGCTATGGCAATACTTCGTACCATCAAGTCTAGTTGCAGCCATAAACATGGTTACAATCGCCCAGACCAAATGGAAACCTGATTTTAGTATTCTATATAAAAATACTCCTCTTTTCATTATAATTTTCTGCTAATGTTATAATATATATTTTTGGTCGACGTTAATATCTTGCCAGTTCCATATTCTTATTTAATAATTATAACGCCTGGGTATCCCCATTTGATGAGTAAAAATGAAAATGGGGGGGGGGTCAAAGAAAAATATTCTAATATGCAGGGGCTGGGGGGGGTCATCATCCAGGTGATCTCGTGTTCGTATTTTAGCCAATCAGCGCTCAGAAAGGGTTGTCCGAATAGAAATCCATTTTGATGTATTCAGTCAATTATATCTTTCATTATTCTTTATGAAACTAGTTGAAATTTTGTAATTATGTTTGGTTATGAGAACTATAGCTCTGACAAAAATATGGAATGGAAATAAAGTATATTACAGGAGATATTCAGTTGTTTTAATCATAAAATGGATTTCTATTTGACAACTAGTGCCAGTACTTTTCCGCGTATCAAGATCACCTGGATTAAAGAGCATCACAAAGTTAGTAATATTCCGAAGTTTAATTCGTTGCGAAATGTTGTAAAATGCGGATAATATAGCCTTTCGAAATTTTGCAATTTTCTGTCATTTTGTATTACAAACGGGAAATTGATGCCCCAACACCATTGGGCTGTCAATTTCCCGTGCGTAATACAAAATAACTGAAAAACGGCAAACTTCACAAGACTATATTATCCGCATTTTACAACATTTCGCAACGAAAATTTGGAAAATTACTAATTTTGTGACACTCTTTCAAGCTGTGATGAAATTTTTGTCTAGATCAAAATTTTAGTTATAAGGGGAAAGGCCATTAACATAAGAATAAAAAAGTAGTAAATCTCTCTCATGGAACGAACTGTTCATGTCAAACAAAGCAACTTCTGTTATATAATCCATAATAGTTTATACCCAGCAACTTCTAGAGAATTGGGAGCAACTTTTTCAATTTTTGACAACTTTTGAACAACTTTTTGCCATTTTTTCGAGCAACTTTTACTCGATTTTTTATCACAATCTAAAATGGCCTACTTATAACATAGATGTTAACAATTATAAGGCTGCTAAATAGCCTCAATTGTCATTTTAATTATTGATAAAAGAAGAAATTTTGCCACATGAGAGATGCGAAACCAGTCGAAATTCTATATTTGCATGTGTACAGTTCTGCGCATGTCATATTTGATACAATCGACCAAAGCGAAAAATGTTTTGTAAATCCAATAATTAAGCTAGATATTCTCATAGGAATCCTATAGAAGATAACAGGACTTTGTCACATCTTTTGTTTTGAAAAGACAAAGAAAATCACTGCCGTATCGGTGGTTTTATATGTGATAAAAATCATGTTCATGCATTTACATCAACTTTAGCTTTGATTTTCTCGGCTTAGACAACGTTCATTTTTGAAATTACGTCTACAATGAACTCATCAGATGGGTCTTTTTTTAAACCATTTAAAACACTCGCAGTCCGTGCTTTATCAGATATAAAACACTCGAGCTGCGTTCTTGTGTTTTAGATCTGATAAAACACTCCTGCTCGTGTTTTAAATACTACATAAACTATACTACTATAGCTTTGATTTTCTCGGCTTAGACAACGTTCATTTTTGAAATTACGTCGCCAATGAACTCATCAGATGGGTCTTTTTTTAAACCATTTAAAACACTCGCAGTCCGTGCTTTATCAGATATAAAACACTCGAGCTGCGTTCTTGTGTTTTACATCTGATAAAACACTCCTGCTCGTGTTTCAAATACTACATAAACTATACTACTATAGCTTTGATTTTCTCGGCTTAGACAACGTTCATTTTTGAAATTACGTCGCCAATGAACTCATCAGATGGGTCTTTTTTTAAACCATTTAAAACACTCGCAGTCCGTGCTTTATCAGATATAAAACACTCGAGCTGCGTTCTTGTGTTTTAGATCTGATAAAACACTCCTGCTCGTGTTTTAAATACTACATAAACTATACTACTATAGCTTTGATTTTCTCGGCTTAGACAACGTTCATTTTTGAAATTACGTCGCCAATGAACTCATCAGATGAGTCTTTTTTTAAACCATTTAAAACACTCGCAGTCCGTGCTTTATCAGATATAAAACACTCGAGCTGCGTTCTTGTGTTTTACATCTGATAAAACACTCCTGCTCGTGTTTCAAATACTACATAAACTATACTACTATAGCTTTGATTTTCTCGGCTTAGACAACGTTCATTTTTGAAATTACGTCGCCAATGAACTCATCAGATGGGTCTTTTTTTAAACCATTTAAAACACTCGCAGTCCGTGCTTTATCAGATATAAAACACTCGAGCTGCGTTCTTGTGTTTTA